GGAATGCTGGCCAAGTGGAGATGTCCTGAGTTGGACTCAGCCTTTTCTGTGCTTGTGTGGTATCTCTAGGCCTTGAAATCTGGACAGTAGAAGGCAGCTCTGCACTTCATTTATTTAATGAGTCTATTCTGAATGTAAAAGTTCAGTGAGTGGAAATGTGGCAGGAGATCTTGCAAGCTGTTTGAAACACAAATTTTTGTGGAATAACTAGTCCTAGTCATGTCAGATAATACTTATTATACATAATAATATACATATAATATCTATATGTCTATCTACTTAGATTAGATATTAGGAAGTTCTTCCCTGTAAAGGTCTTGAGGCCCTGGCACAGGTTGCCCAGAGAAGCTGTGGCTGCCCCATTCCTGGCAGTGCTCAAGGCCACCTTGAATGGGGCTTAGAGCAACCTCATCTAGTGGAAGGTATCGCTACCCATGGCAGGGAGTTGGAACTGGATGAGCTTTAAGGTCCCTTTCAACCCAAACCATCCTGTGGTTCTATGAAACCATTCTGAGATCCTTCTTTGAGAATGGCTGAAACCATCAGAAGGATGTTTGTGGGTCTCTGTTACAGAAGAGTGCCAGTTTTGGGCAGAGGTTTGAAGCTGTGCAGCCTGCATTTTGCCAGGTTAGTGCAGTCCTCTACCAGCTTCACCCAGTACCTCTGGCAGTCGAGAAGACTTTGACAAGGAGTGTTAAAGGCTTAGTGCAGGTAGAAGGGATCCTCAGGGTCCCCAGACTCTCAAATGGTGTCTGGTAATGTCTTTGCAGAAGATTATGCAGCTCTCCATGCTCTCTGCCTTCCCTGCCATCCCACTAACTGTGTCTCCTATGTATCTGCCCCCAGGCTTTCTGGATGTAGCCAGCAACTCCAGCTTCAGCAACAGTGTCTTGACAGTAACCAGGTAGGGTCTGTTTGTTGCTACAGAAGGGCTTGGGGAGAAGGGAAAGTTTCTCAGGGTGCAGACAGCAACTAACATAGCTTTGGGGAATGATGGTCTTGGCTGGAAAGCAGTTGGGGCTTTCTGGGCCACAGTGGGGTGGATGCTTTACAGGTGGCTGCTTCTCTCTGATGCACTTGCACCAAAATGTTTTAAATTTATGGTAAACTGTGGGGTTTGCTCCCTCAGGAGACCTTGCAAAGCCCCCTGGGGGGTCTGGTGAAGCAGCAGTGTCTGTGCACTCAGAATTTTGCACATTGCCTGTCTTCAAGTCCCCACTGTTGGGCACTCTGGCTTCAAGACAGGCTGAAGGTGGGGAGAAGGTGAAACATTGTTTTGGTTATGGCTTTTCTAGCTTGGCCAAAATAGGAGGCATTTGGTTCCCTCCTGCCTTTGCAGAGGAATGGTGGTAGAGGAACAGCGGTGTGTGGTCTCCTGGAGGCACAGTATCTCATCTGACTAATCACTCCTGCAAATACCTTTCTTCCCATCCAGCTATCAATGAGTCTGGAAGCAAATCCACCTACTCTTATATCACATTTACTTTCCTACTGCTGCCTGCAGTACTTTTCCTAAGAGGTGGTGATTTCCAACACTTTTATTGTGTTGATGCATGTATTTGGTTGTTGTTGTGGTTCCCAAAATAGGATCTGTTACTCTACCTGCATCCTACCAGTGAGGCTAATGCGTGATGCCCATCATAATGCATCCTATAGCAATGCAAGCATCAGCTTTTCATGTTGATGATCTGTATGTCAGTTCCATTTTTTTGCACTCCTGCAAAGCCCAGCTACTCCCTGGTCTTAATGATGCCCTTAATGTTTTCCTCTCTTGAAAGTACAGATCTTTTCACTTGCACCTGGATTTCATTTTATAGCTGCTAAATGGTTTTCCCTGGCTTTTCTGTGATTGCTGATCCATCCTGGCTCAGCCCTTAAAGTTTAGCAGGTGCTGAAGTGTGAGTGCATAGGACTGAAACTGGGAAGGGGAAGGAAAAGGAGAGGCATTGAGTCAGGAGGACAAGTGATAACTGTGGCTCTGACCTGAAGAAGTTGTGCCTGGAGAAGAGATGGAGGGAAGACCAAAGAGGGACAGAAGCAGGGAGAGCTGGAGTGACTTGGTCTTAGTGTCACCAAGAGCTGAGGGAAAAAACAGGGAAAACCACCCAGGACAGCAGGCAAGACCCTTTGCCTCTCTAAGAGACCTGGTTTTACAGAAGGGCTTGGTTTTGAGCCCTTCTAAGCCCTTTTAAAAAGGAGACTTCAGGTTTTATCCTGGGTTTTACCTGGTCTGAGGCCATCTTGTGGGACCTGTCTCCTGACCCTGCATCAGGACCTGAAACCTTTTTACCATGGCATCCACTGCGGGGTGATTGGCATGGTTTGGGGTCTGTTGGAGGCTGACAGGAGCTGTGGACATTAGCCCAGTGCTTCATCTATTGCTCAGGCTGCCTGGCTTGTCCCTGAAGCTGAGAGATGAGAGCTGGCACCAGCTGCAGCTGTAATTCACACCAGGGAGCAGGCAGCTGCATGCTGAATGCCCACTGGGTGTCATGACAGGACCACAAGAAACCATTGCATTGCTTTTAAAAGCTGGAAAGCCTGCAGACAGAGGAAGTTGAAGCTGCCTTTGAAGATGAAGTTACTCTTTGCTTGTGTTTTTGTTCATTCCCCCCTGCTTTCCCCAGTGGCCCAGCGCCAGGCATCCAGCTCTCACGCCCCCTTCTCCTGCCCTCCCCGCACTACTGAGGTCTGCAGAGGGATAGACTGCAGCAGTGGAGAGAGGAGGATCTCCATCAGCATGGGTGGAGGAGCTCACAGCCCAGTGTCTGCAGAGGGGTGTCTTCCATGAAGATACCATCCAAGAAGATGACAAGGCCTCAGTGCTTGTTACATGGATGCTGGGCATGTTACTGTGGCCACAAACTGACACACATAGTCCCCTTCCTCCTACCCCACTCCTAAAATGTGCTGTTGGCAGCCCAAAGCGCTTCCAGGGTAATTGCCAGCTTCACTTGAGGGGAGCTTCCTGGTGACATTTGCTAGAAAATGGGGGCTGTGTCTGAGCTAAGACAGAAACTGGCTCCTGGGAGAGCCTGGCTGCATGAGGCTGGAGATTTGGGGCTTCCCATGCAGGTAGAGGTCCCTGCTTCCAGCTTCTGCAAAAACTGTCACCAGAGGTGGACCAGACTGTGTTTCAGAGGCAGTGGAGCCTTCCTGTGGCCTAGCTGACCATGCTGTTGGTGTGATGGCTGATGTGAGTCCAGATCAGGAAGGGGAGGTGGAAGTGTGGCTGCTGGAGCAGAGCTCAGGCTTCCTTCCATCAGTTTGAGCTGCTGCAGGAGAAGATGCAGATGTCTGTCCTGCATCACTGGACCAAAGCAGCTAAAAAGTGCCTTTTAGGCTCTTGTAGCTGCATTATTGTTTCAGTACAAGACTTGGGCAGTTTGAAACAAGTTCCAAACCATGGATGGTCAGACATGGCTGGCAAGCAGCAGTCTGGGTTAGATGCATGGCAGTTGGACAAGGGTCCCTTACCAAGCTAGATAAGGGAGGTGGGGGCTCCTTTTGCGGTCCTTCTTGATACAAGGAAGGTTTCTTGTTTTGGGTGGTGTTCAGCAGCACATGGACACGTAAAGCTGCTTGTTGCTCTGCAGAAAGGCCAAAGATGCCCAAGGACGCATTTAAATCAGACTTTGAAATTGGGTAGTTAGACCTTAGTCCAAAGCCAAAATTGTTGCTGCTTGTCTCGTGCTGGAAGTTGCTGTAGCGCCATGCCCAGAGCCTGGTGCACCTTCAGCTTTCATCCAGTGAGATGGGGAGCTCGTCAAGGTGGTGAACACTTGGGTGGAGGCTAGGGATGGTGCTGGGTGCCCCACAGCAGCGGGGGAATGGTTGGCCGAAGGCAGCATATGCACCAAGCCTGCCTTGGAGTCCTGTCCTCCAGCAGCTTGTAGTGCTTCAGCCTTCAGGTTGAGGGTGTCCTCTCAGGAAGGCTCCTTCTGGCCCTCCTCTCCAGCCTGGAGCAAGGAGGTGGGTTCCCTTCACTGCTCCCACTGTGCCATTGGATAGATGAGCTGGAGGGGACCTTGGGCATGCTTGTCATGGGCTTGTTGGACTGCATGCCTCTGCCTAGGCCTTAACATCATTGCTTCTCTGGGAGATCAGCTTGTGCTGGTGCTGCAGGCACTTCCAGTCCTTGGAAACCACAGTAAGCAGAAGGAAGCCAAGAGCACCAAGAGAGTGATGGAGTATGAGAAAGCAACAGCTTGTGGGACTCATAGCAGGGAAGAGCTCTTTACCTCCTGGCCACTGGCTCGAGCCTGCTGAGCAGCACAGCTGCCAGCCCGTATGGGAGCTGCCCTTGTGACTTGGCTCACAATGAAAGAACCTGGCTATTTCCACCCTTGGCAAGGCCACTTCACTGGGCCTGCTTAAAGCCTAGAGACAGGCCTGGACCTTAACCTTGTCTGAAAATGGGGTCAGGAAAGCAGCTGGGCTGGGCAGGAGGCCAGGAGGAAGATGACATCTCAGGCATTGGCAGAGAAAAGGTGACTGCTGAGGAGAGAGATGGCAGAAGCCCTTGAAGAAAGGGGAAAAATGAGAAAATTAATTGATAAGGCACATGGGGTTAGAAACATCACGATGGGTTGAATGCAGTGGAAAAGTGAGCTCTGCTTCTGTGCTGAGGATTCTTTCTGAGATAGAGAGGGTGTACTGGGCAGTGGGTCTCCTGTCCCACCACTCAGCTTGAGCAAAGGGTACCAGTATCCAGAGGTGAGAGCCTGGTACAACCCCCATCATTGCTCAGCTCACTCTAAAAACATGTTCTTGCTATCACAGATGAACCACAAAGGTGGTGCCAGGGCCACATTCATCCTCTGGAGGAGAATCTGGGGTAGTGGGTTAGATGGAAGCAATTACATCTGACATCTGCCCTGCTGCAGATGCTGGTGTGGGAGCTGGCGTTGCAGCCCAGAGGATCACATTAGGGCAATGCCATTAGTGCTGCTCCCACTCTGTGCTGCTGAGGATTAGGGAGAGCAGGCACAAGCTGTGATCCTGCTTTAGAGCTGCAGCCACGGCAGCACTTTCCATGCTCAGCTGCTGCCTTCAGCCCTGGAAAGGTGGCAACCCATGCACTGCTCCATCTCAGGGGCAGAGGAGCATGGTTGGTGGAATATTTTTATCCAAATTTTATACGTTCATGAGACCTCTTGCCTTTCAGGATGGGTATCCTGGGTTTGTGCTGAGAAAACAAGCTGCTTCTCCACCAGCAACCTCCCTAAAAGGTTTATCTTGGCAGATGTGGGAAACGATGGCAGGCCAGGAGCTTTTTCCAGCACCATCCATTTTAGCAGGAGCTGAGCCTGGGGAGCTGCAGGGGGGTGATACATGGCATGGCTGAGGTCTGGCTCACTCAAGGTGGATGTTGGCTCTGCCTGACTACTGCCTCATGGGGAAGGGGTTTTCACAAGCAGTTTTGGCACAGTTGCTTGTGAAATGGCTTGTTGCTGTGCTGGAAGAAGTCCAGCATCCTTCTCTAATGGCACCATGGCAAACCGTGTCACCCTGAGCGCTCTTGACCTGCCTCACAGCAGCATGGACCTGGTGGATTTGACAGCATCAGGGCCACCTCTAAACCAGCTGGCTTCACACACTGCTTCTCTGTGCCTTCCTTTTGATCACTTCCCCCTGAAAACACGTGTTACCCTGACGAGTTTTTCCCATCCTGCACAGGCAATGCGTGTTTTGGCATGGATCAAGGATTCATGCTCCTCTTCCATCAGGAGCCCCATGTGGGTGGGTGGCAGGCTGTGCTGCTGCGGCAGGAGCTGGTTTTGCAGGAAAACCAGACACAGAGCTCCTTCAGGCTGGCTTTAGCAACATGAGACACTGCTCCCTTGGACATCTCTCCCAAACTCCCCCATGCTCTGAGCCCCTCCTTCCCCTTGGTTCTAAGCATTTGGCTGTTTGCAACATCAAAGCAAAACCTAGTCTAACTCAAAATGCAGTTTGCAGACCCTGGCATCTGTTCTGTGAGGCACATCAAGCAGTCAGATATCTCCAGGGCTGTGAGGGGCTGTAACCTCCTCCTTTCGCCCTTACAACGTGTGTCCTGGGGAAGATCAAATCCTAGCAAGCCGCAGCTCTACTTGCAAATTACACTGTGAGAAATCTGCCCCTTAGGATTTCTTATCAAAGGAGATGCAGAGCAGCTCTGTGCACTCTAGAAAAGTCATCAAGAATCTGGACCAGCCTTGAATAATTCAGTAGATTGGGTAGGACAGGAGTGACTTTGCTCTTCAGTACGGCTGCCTTTTGGAAGTCTGCTCCAACCATCTCTCTGTGCTGTTGAGGAGGTGGGAAACTATCAGGTAGACTTAAGGATCACAAGCAAGACAAAAAAAAAAGCCGTAACATGACCTCCTCTGTATTGCAGTCTCCTGGCCTGATACAGGTCCCAACTATTTGGGGGGAAAACTGGGGAGCAAGAACTAAGGGTCTGCAGCCTGATTGTGTTATAAAAGAGGCAATGTCCTGGTAAACTTGTTTGCTTTCGTTCCTGGTTGATGACCAAGGGTTATCCTCATCTTTTTTGGGATGGCGTTTGGGAAGTAAGATGATGTTCTTAAGGCAGCCTTGTAGCAGAGAGCTGCATCCCAAAAACACTGCCAGTCAGGGCACCATCTGCAGTCCCCAGCACCAGTCTGCTGGGATTAGCAGAAACTGGATGTCCTCACCGGGTGGGTGGCCCCAACTCATGGACTTTGAGGAGTTGTGGATTATTGTTCTCTGGAGATATCTGAGCTGGTCAAACTGGAGTTGGATTCTGAGCGCATTTCATGGATCTCTAGTCTTTGAACCCCAAACCTGGTGCCTGCAATAGGGACCAGTTTCCTCAGCACAGTCATGGTACTGGATTCATCTAGTGTGGTGTCTTACCATGCATAGGTACCAGTTGTTTTGAAAAGTGGTAAACCTTGAAACCTGGAAGACTTCTGATGTTTCCAAAGCAAGTTTTTGGTGTGGTGTTGTCTCTTGTTGTGCTTCCCCGTCTCATAGTGCCACATGGACAAACCTGGCCATGCCCAGCCATGACCCCCAGGCTTGCAAGCCTGGAGCTTGCTTCCTGGCTGTCATAACTCTTGAAGATATGAGCACAGTTGTGGATTTGCCGTGAGCAGATCTGGATACACAGAATAAGAAATGTGGGTGGCCAGGCTGAGTGGGGCGGGAAGAGGCCAAGGGGTAAGTTGAGCTTTCTCAGGTTTGAGATGTTTGGTGCAGCCTCTGGTGTGTTGTAGACCTCTCCACCATGGGAGGAGTGAGTTGGACATACAGCACTGAACCAGCCTCTCTCCTTTTCATGCAGCAGTGAGAGGATCCAGGTGACCCTGAACCTGGATGGAATAGTTCAGGTGCTAGACTGCCACCTTCATGACACATCCATTGGGATGATGACCAGAATTGCAGTCCTGAAATGGCTCTACCACTTGTACATCAAGACTCCTCGTAAGGTAGGTCAGGGACTCGGCCTGTGAGCCTTCTGCTTCCCCCATGGGACTGAGCTTGTCTGCTCCCAGCCTGCTTCATGCCTTCAAATTGGCTGTAATTATCTTGGTAACATTGCAACCAAGCGTCCTCCTGCGTTTTCTGAGAAGGCTTTGGTTGCTGGATACCCCGTAGCTTAAGGAAGAAGAGCTCTCCAGCTCAGATGGAAAATGCTGATGAAGCCCCAGCAGCCTCCCCAGGGCAAGGGATCCTGTGGCAGTGGGTGACCAGGCCTATAGGACTGATGCTATCCTTTTTCTGGTTCTAGATGTTCCGACACACCGACAGCCTCCTCCCCAACTTGCTGCGGACCCTCTCAGATGAGTCAGATGAGGTAAGTGCTGCAGCTGCTGCAGAAATCCTCCTGACAGCTTACCATCTCCGCATCCAGCTGGGCTTTGGGTTTTTGGGGTTGAACTGAGGGATTTTTTGAGGCTTGGCCAGTGTTGGGAATGCAGAGCCCGCAGGTAGCTGCCTGGCTGAAAGCCCTGTGGTCTCTTTTAGACTGGCGTGTTTGGGACCCTTCTCCATCTCTGAAAATTGATCCTTCAAAGCCAACTTTTAAAACGCCTTTTTGCCTGTCTGGGAAGAGAGCTGGGACTGTAGGTCCCTAGTGCTGGTGTCTTTCTCTGGGTTGTGGTCAGATCTTTGGTGAGTGGGAATTCAGGCACCTCGCAGCATCTCTGTAGAGATGTGTGGGAGACTGTGTCCAGTCAGCACTGCAAAATCAGAGTTGTGAGGAGATTAAGCTGGCAGGGCAGCATCAGTATTGCCTGGTGGGGCTGCAGTAGGTGCACAGTAGCATCAACATCAACCTTCCAGTACCTAAAGGAGTCTAAAAGAAATGAGGAGCTTGGCTTTTTTGCAAGGGGCAGGGCAAGGGGGACTGGCTTTAAACTGACAGAAGGGAGATTTAGATGAGAGAGGAAAAATTCTTCCCTGTGAGAAGTGAGGTGAGGCCCTGTCACAGGTTGCCCAGAGAAGCTGTGGCTGCCCCATCCCTGGCAGTGTTCAAGGCCAGCTTGGATGGGGCTTGGAGCAACCTGGTCTAGTGGAAGGTGTCCTTGCCCATGGTAGGGCATTGGAATTGGATGAGCTTTAACATCCCTTCCTACACTATTCCATGATGCTATGATCATGTTGGCTCGTTTTGGAAGCGAGCAAAGAAAATCAGGCAGCAGTGAGTGAGCCAGCTTGCTTTGACTTCGCTCTCCTGCCTGTGCCTTGCTCTCCCAGGGCAGTGTTCTTCGTCTCCAAGGCTGCTCCCTTCTTGAGGTGCTGCACCATTTTCCCATTTCCTTGTCTTTCTTCCTCACCTCTCTTTTCTGGTTCCAGTCATCTAAATTTTGGCGTCTTTGGCATCTTCTCCCCCTCTCCGTTGCACCCTGGAGCATTTCTAGTGTTTGATTGGAAGCTGGCAGCTTCAGCATGGGCAGTGGTAGCACTTCTACTGTCAGCTGGTTACTTCTTTCCTAGACCTGTGAATGCTTCTGTTTGGTTTCTCAGCCCTGACCTTCCTCATGGGCTAAAAATCACACACTATATGCTTTGCCTTACGTGCTTAGGGCATTAGAGCCCAACCCCACAATAAATCCCATGTGTGAGGGGGTCATTAAGAGAAGAGGGAAGGGAATGACTTGCAAAGGCAAGCAACTGCTTGGTCATTTTCCATACCCTGCTGCTTACCATGCAGACCTCTCCAAAAGAGTCCCCAAGCACACATCTGCCTTTGCAAGGCTCTAGAAAGCTTGCATCTTGGAGATAGTCCCTCCAGCTTAGCAGGAGATCACAGTGACTCATGTTGCAATTACACTGCTTATTAATATTTGAAAAAAAGCAGTGAAGAAAGGACCCTGGTGATGCATTTCGTCCATGTGACATAACTGGGAATGGCTCAAAAGTAATTTTAAGCTGATTTATTTAATCCTGTCTTCTATTTATTTAAATGTTTGGCTCTCCTGTATTTTTTTAAAGGAAATCCATAGACAAGTCAATCCACTGAACACCACTGCTCAGCTGGCTCCCAACCAGATCTGCTGCTCTCTGCAGAGGAAATGGAAATGGCTGAAAGAGTAGGGGTTTGGAGCTGAGTGTTTTGGGGAATGATGAGGAGAGATGGAGGCAGCTAACCTGCAGTGTCAGTGCCTACTAGAAAAGGGGATGCAGGGTGCTCTCTTAGCCATTAGTCCCTGCTCAATACAGTATTCGTATTCATATATGTATTGTTCTGGAGTAGATTCCTGGATTGGGATTCCCCAGGAGCTCTTGGCTAACAGGCTGGGGATCACAGGGTTGGTGTGGGGTCCTGTGTGAGCTAACCTATCAGCTCCTGATGAGGAAGCATTTCCTTCCCCTTCCCAGGTAAGGCTCTGTGTGTTGTATGGTGTAGCACAAGGGGTACACACATCTTCAGGGTTTTTTTTTGCTGTCTTCATCCTGCAGTGCTGCCTTCCCCAAGGGAATCCATCTGGGCAGTGGTATCAGTCCCATCTTTCTTCCCAGCAAAGTTCAACATCCTTTTGCAGTGCCTGTGGATCTCCTGTCCCTCGTGCACAGTTTGGAGGCTTACTGTTGCTCTCCTAATGTGCTCTGAAGCTATCCTGGAGTGGTAGTTTCTCATTAGTTCATTACCAAAGGAGAATCTGGCTTTGGAGGGTCAGTGCTAGTCAGGGCTTTGCATCATGCTGAAAGGCTGTGCTCTGGCAACTTATTTTTAAGGTCTGGCCTTGTTGAGCTGCTCTGAGTCTCTCTGTGTGCTTGCCATCAGTCAAGCCCAAAGCGAGGAAAGACTTGAGCTGAATGGAGCTGGATCCATGCCCTTTAAGTTGTCATGCCTGTTTATCATTCGAGTAGCACAAGATGTTACACCATCTCCACCATGCTGAACAGAGGCCAGAATCTAACAATGCGTCTGTGGTATCCTGAGTCATCTCTGCTTTCTCTCCTGTTCCCCTTACTACCCAGTTCTCCTGCTCCAGTAAAGAAATGGTCAAGAGACCTAGTTAAGAGTCACAAAGGCAGCACAGAGAAGTTGGAGCAAGCAGTTCCCTTTGATGTGTAGACAAGTCAGGATACAGGATTCCTGGCTGTCAGATGCTGTACTGCTGCACTGGGTCACCTCATGCTGGTTCCTGTGCTTCCCCAGCAGGGAGATGCTCCACCCTGCATTTGAGACCTGGTTTTGAAAGCAATCTTTAAAAGCCCTGTTTAAAATTTGATGTGCTTAAAAACTTCCTCACAGTTCCAAGACCAACAGGATCAGGCTGGGAGAGGGGTTTTCTGCACAAGCTGCTCCTGTTGTTGGTTTGAGTCTCACTGCCCAGACACCTGGTTGAAGAATGGATATTAGAAAAGGTGAAATGTTAAACCCCAAGCACTCTTTGGGAGCAGTGGGTTAGACCTTTCCACCCACAGGTTAAAAGCACAGCTGCTTGTAGGCAGTGCTGAAAAGAAGACCTGTTCTTTGGGTTATCTCCCTCTGCAAGCTCCTAATGCAAAGGCAGCTTCTGAGGTAGTTGCTCAGTTCCCTGGGTCTTCCCATCTGGACCCAGGTGCTGAGTTCTGGCGGACACAACCGGCAGTGAGGGCATCTCTGCGAAAACTATGGAGCACTGATGCTGCTGGTTTCTTCCTTTACTTTGTTTGCCTTTCTCTGGCTCCAAAATGGAGTAGTTTCTGTACAGCTGAATGTGTTCCTGTTTGCTTATCTGCTCCTCTCAATCTTCCTGGGGGTTGGAGTTGTGCTGGGACTTCTGTCTGACTCATGCAGGAACAACGGGTAAGGTGAAGCTGGTGTCTGATGTGAAGCAGGGTAGACTCCAGCTTCCTCTCAGTTCTGCTAACATGAAAACCTACCTGTGTTTCTGCAGTGGCCAGGCAAGGCTTTGGATACAGGAAGAAGATTCAAATGATTTTTTAACTTGCTTTTTGCAGCTGTATCATAGAATCATAGAATGGGTTGGGTTGGAAAGGACCTTAAGATAATCTAGTTCCAATCCCCTGCCATGAGTAGGGACACCTTCCACTAGACCAGGTTGAAACTTCCTAGGTTTCTCTTAGAGCATCCTTCAGAAGTCTGCTCCTAGCACTGTAGAAGAGTTGGTACTCTTCCCTCATGAGGATTAGCTGAGCCTGGGCTACCACTGCCTGTGCAGGTAGTGATGGACTTGAACGTCTATGTGACCTTCAAGCCAACTTCTCCATGACAAGCTGAAATATTTTGCCCCTCTCTTGGGTTTCCAGTATTAAACTAGGAGAAGAGGAACCCCAGGTGGGGTGGAATACTCATATTCATCTCTCTTCTTTGCTGTTATCTCCTACACCCCTCCTGCGTGTCCCGCTGCAGCACTGCAAGGTTTTGAAGCCCAGGTCTCTTCCCTGCTCTCTAAGCTCTGCTGTTACACTGAGTCCTGCCAAACTTCTCTCATCGCTACCAATTCCCAGTACAGTGAAGCTGAACAAAAGCTTGTGCGAAAGCAAATAGCCATCTTAGCATGGTTTGGTTTGGAGCTTTGCACTGTTGGTTTTAGAGCCACTGTACTCTAATCCACCATGGCCAAAATAGTGTGACCCCATGGAAAGTAAGGGTGTAAACTAAAGACTGCAAAGAATTCTCATATACATGTGCCTGGCTTTAATTTGAATTTCTTTTGGTGGTAAAGCTTCTCTGGGTTGGGCCTGAAAGCTACAAGATACCAAAGCAGGGAGGCTGCTTGTTTTGAAAAGGGAAGTTACACTGGGGGTGAGTTTAGGACTGAAATGATGGGATGTAGAGAGAGGTATGTAATTGCAGTTGGATGGTGGAAAATGTGGTCAGCCCAGCTTGCCATACATGGAAGCACCCCATAAGCAGAAGTCTTAGAGCAGGGTGGAGTGATGCTTTCTCCAAGGCATTGTGAGGGCACTGGGTTGAAAGATAATCTCTGCACTATATCATGCAGGAATAGGAAGTTTCTTGGGGGGAGTGTGATTCACAGGGAGCTTCTTGGCTCAGCACCAGTTCCAGACCGTAATGGCATGGCTTGCTTGTACATACGCATATACAGTTTGTGTGTATATCAAAAAACTAGTGGTAAGCAGGCAGCCTGGGCTTGAGGTAGTGCCTGGAGCATTCCTGGCTGAAATCATGGAGCAGATTAAACCCATCTGCCACAGAGGACAGGCAATCCTGGCTTAGGAAGCTGGCTCAGTGTGAGGGGAGACAGTGTAGGATGCAGGATTTGGTGAGCTTGGCTTTGGATGGCTGGCTTCTCAGGGTACAGAGGGAGATGCTGGATGGGAGACAGGTAGCAAAAAAACCAAACCCTTTATGTATTATTAGCTCTGGGACTCTTTGAGTGCTGAATTTGAAGGGGTTGCAGGTATCCGACCCTGCACAGTGTGCCTGCAGGGATGTTCCAGGGCAGCTCCGGCTTCCTCCAGCCCCACCCACTGGCTGGACCTTGTCCTGTCTCCTTCCCTATCCTCTAATGCATGAAGAAATACCTCCTAGGGGGGATTTGTGAAAGCAGAAGGGAAGACAGTGAGTTATCAAGTTGGTTTCAGGTGGTTGTTGCTGTATTACCAAATGACCCACCTCCTCCAGTGCCTGCTATATTTCCTGATGGTGTGAGAATGTATTAGCATGACCTGGCAGGATTTTCCCTGGGGAAGAAAGGGGAGGAGAAGACCCCAGCCCCACTGCCTTCTCTCTGCCCCTGGCCACAGATTGAAATCCGGTGGCTGTAAAGGGGAAAAAAAAGGTCATGGCAAGAGCAGAGGATAAAAGTTGCTGTGCTGGGGACCTGAAAAGAGGTCTGGTTAAATCGGTGTGGGAAGATTAATGGTAGTTTTTCTGTCTTTAAAGCTTGTGGAGGCAGGGGGGACACAAGTTTGCTTTTCCCACTGTGTGTGCCTCAGGCTTGGCCAGCCTCGCTGCTGGCTGCTCTTGGCCCTGGGGCTGTCTGCCCGTGATCAACTACCCTCCCCTGGCTATGGCTAAAAGGTTTGAAAGGAGGAAAAAGAAATATAAAACATAACAAGTGAAGTCCTCTGGGGCAGCCTCGGTGTACACTGCTGCAGCAAGGGACTGCATTTCAGTGGTGGAGCAGGAGGAAGCATCCAGCAACATCCTCGGCTCTCCTGGTCACCACCAGGTCACTCCTGCACCATTGCCAGTCTGGTAATACTGTGGGCTTTTCTACAGCCTTCCTGATCTAAGGCGACTGATCCCCCTTGAAGAAGTGCTTTGTAGCCCTAAACCTTCTTGGTTTCCATCTCAGTAGCACAATCAGCTGAATTCCTATCTTCTTTTTGGCAAGAATACCCTTGCCCCTGGTATTGTGTGCCCCATTTTATTAACCAGGGAATCCCCACCCTCTGGGACATTGCCATAAATACCGGTAAGGACAGCATCTTCAGGAGCTCAGTCTATATCCTTGCCCTCATCTGTGCCCCAGGATCTGCTGCTGCAGCCCCCATGTGCTGCAGAGTGCTGAGTCTTGCTCCACAGAGGTCTGTAGCAGATTTGGGATCACCTCCCCTTCCTTTACTACATTCCAGGCCAGCCCAGTGTTTCGGCCAGAGGTAAACTCTCCCCGAGGAGCATCAAGGCAATGCTTTGCATGCAGGAAGTGCATCCCATCCAGCATGCACCATTCAGGTACTGCTTTTCCCCTGCACCGTTGCCAGCAGAGCTGGTCTTGGCTCCGTTCAACCAGAACAAGAGCAAATTAACCTGACCTAGATCTGGAGAAGCTAAGGAGAGACTGGCTGGTTTGTGTGACCTTAAAATTCCTGCTCTGGAGGCAATACAGGGAGAAATCTTGCCTATTCCCAGCAAGGAGAAAAGTGCTTATTTGTAATAGCTTATAACTGACTGATAACCTGCTCCTCATCCCTCAGCTGTGCAAAGAGCTCCATCCCAGTGCTGGGTATGGCTTATGATGTTGGCCAGGTTTCCCCATCCATTGTGATGCTGCTTTCCTTGCTCCTTCCAATTAAGGAAGCCTGGAGCAGGGGCATGGCACCTTTACGTCTCATCACCACCAGGAAAACCTCCTTGGTGGCAGCTCCTCTGGCCTGGTCATTGGGATCATGCCCTTGCCCGGTAGCTGGGAATGGCTCCAGCCCTTGTGCTCCAGCACTGCTGGGTCCGACAGCTGCTGGGCTCCTGACGGATGGGACCAGCTTGCTCCTGGCGCAGCCAGCCCGTTGCTATGGCAATGGCAGGATATTGCTTTCTTACAGCCTCCTAGGTTGCACAAAGCCAGCTGCCAGCTCCAGCTCTGCTTAGCGCAGGGATGTGCAGTGCATACCAAGCACTCCTGGCTTTCCTTCATTGCTGGCTGGTAACCCACTCCAGAGCATGCAGGGAAGGAGCAGCAGGAGCCAGAGCTCCCTGCCTCTTTCCCATGGCTGGAAAACCCCAGGCCTTTATGCCTACCTGCTCTTCCTCTTCCTCCAGATGCTCCTGGATGGGAGCATCCCTCCTGCTTATTTCCTCCATGCTTTCCAATTGCCAAATTCAGTCCATGCTGCTTTTTCCACTTCCTGCTTGTGACCTACATGCTGGCTTTGGGGGACTCCCCTTAACCTCTACAAAGCTCAAGAGGTCCAGCCATGCCCTCAGCATGTCACTGCTGCCAGGCAGCCTGCCTGGAGCATCCTAAGCCCAAGCAGCATCTCAGATAAGGCTCTGGGAGATTGGATTAAGGATCCAGCCTCACAGAATAAGACAGGGCTTTATATGCTTTGGAAGGCAGCAGGGATGATTTGTGCCCAGCCCAGGGTCTTGTTCCTGGTGCCTGATGCTGCTGGTGAAGTTTAAGCTGAATGATAGCCCAAGTGCTGGCCTGGATGGGGGAATCAGGGCAGCAGGATGGCAGTCACAAGTGGCTGGATCATGCCATACATCAGCCGCAATATGGCTTTGGCTCCTGGTTGTGTTGGGTTCAGCAAAATCGGTAGCGTGAATGAGACTCCAGCTCTCACGAGCCCTGATAGCCAAGCCCTGAGTCACTTTTTAGAGTTTTAGCCAAAGACACTGAGACTTGGAAACCTTTATGAGACATAATTTAATGCCTTTCCCTGCTCCAAGGCTGCAAGTTGTGCTAAGCCCACATGATTAGCCACTAGAGAATCTACATCAGGCTTCAGGAGACCAGGCATCATGAGATTTGCTCAGGGACATCCTCTGCTTGGAATGAAACACCACCAGCATTGCTTTATCTGAGCCACTGATGAGACCAAGGTCCTTCCTCTGCCAGGGACCACAGGCTCCCTTCCCTGGAAGAGGATGAAGGCTGGTGATGGCAGTGACCTCCTGTGCTAGCCATAAGGTCCCATCCTTGGCAGCACGACAGAGGTGCCGTATTCTTCATTGACAGCAGTGCAAGTTCTTGTTGTCTTACTTTATTTCCTCCCCTAGGAGCTGTAGGCTGGGACTCCATTGTGTTTATAGGCACGGGGTCTTCTCAAGCATGTGGGAGCCTTGTGGAGCACCATGACTGCACCAGCACCCAGGCCTCAACAGCATGATGCCTGCTCAAAAACCTCTTTCTGATTCAGGGGTCATGGGTCATGTTTTCAAGTTCTCCATGATCAAAAAAAAAAAAAAAAAAAGATGTAATTAGATTTTTTTTCTCAAGGTTAAGGGGTTTTTTAGTAACTCAGCAGCTAAAACTCCCGTATAACTGCAGCTCCTCAGAAAGACGCCTTGTGAGAGCATGTGGAAACCTAGGACACTGTGCTGGTTGGCAAAGGGCGGTTGGGGAAGTGCTGTGCTAGATGCTGATGAGTTAGACATAGCAGTCACCAATTTTGGCAGCCTTTCTGCTGTGCACAGCTCTGCCACACTCAGAGCATCGGGAACGTCTGATGGAACATTTAGACGCAAGGACATTTGAATGAAGGGAGACCCAAAATAGCCTGAAACATGAGAAGGGTTGAGGACAACAGAAAAAAACCAACCCACCCTGTAATAACTTGGCCAGAAATGCTATATATAGATTAATTCAGTGACTTCTGGAAGGAAAGAGCTATGAAAGCCAAATGGCAGCTCAGCCAGCTCTGGAATGCTGCTGTGAAAAGGGTGAGCTGAGGCGTGGGGGCAGGCAGACTGGTGTGTGCCCCCAAGAGCATCCTCATGCTTTTGCTGGTTTTATCCCAAACCTGGGGTTATGAAGGGGAGGGGGAAAGCAAAACCCAGACCTCCTTGAAGTGGGAAGAGGGAGAAGCAAGCCCTGCTCCTGATTGTGCACATTGGTTTGATTTCACAACTCTCTTTTTTCCCTCTCCTTTTCTCTATCCTGCCCTATCCCCTCTGCAATCATTTGAAACTTCCACGTGGAACTTCACAGGTAGCCTTCTTTTCCCTACCCTTTTCCTGATGTGCTGGGATTTGGGGTTTGCTTCCCGTCTTACTGTTTCCAGCCATGAGTTTGGACAGGAAAGCTCACCCCATGCTGTCCATCTCTTCACAGGTAATCCTGAAGGACCTGGAAGTGCTGGCTGAGATTGCATCTTCCCCAGCGGGACAGACAGATGGTCATGGTCCTTCTGACAGCTCCGATGCACAACCCAGCCTGGTGGAGCTTCAGGTCCCGGACAGGGCTGGCCAGCTGAGCTCCTCTGGTGAGTGACCACATGCCCTGGGCTCCCTTGATGCACCATGGTACTGGTCAGATTTGCTTGGGCAGAAGGAGAAGACTCTACTGCAGTAGTAGATCAGTAGATCCATCCCCACCCAGCATAGCTTTGGGATCAAGTCTGCCATGGTGCAGACCAGGGCACTGCTTTTATTATTGGTGCTCTTTCCTCTAGCTCATGTTTTGGGGATTTAGGACTCTGTTTAGTGGCAGGATGCTACAGAGGATGGTGTGGAGGGATCATAGAATCCCAGACTGATTTGGGTTGGAAGGGACCTTAAAGCTCACCCAATTCCAACCCCCTGCCACAGGCGGGGGCACCTTCCATTAGACCAGGTTGCTCCAAGCCCCTGTGTCCAACCTGGCCTTGAACACTGCCAGGGATGAGGCAGCCACAGCTTCTCTGGGCAACCTGTGCCAGGGCCTCAGCACCCTCACAGGGAAGAACTTCTTCATAAGATGTTATCTCAATCTCCCCTCTGTCAGTTTAAAGCCATTCCCCCTTGTCCTGTCACTACATGCCGTTGTAAGAAGTCCTTCTCCAGTGTCGTTATTGTCTTATTCTTAGGAGACCTTGGGTGCTAGCCTCCTCTCTCCTTGTTAAAGCCCTCAGAGCCCTAAATTCAGTCCAGGATGGGATGCTGGCTGCAAGCTCAGGTGTCCAAAGCCCACACAGATCTGCAGAGGATTCGGCCTGTTCAGATCATGTTGCCTGTGCAAGGCTGCCTACGTCTACTGTGAACTGCTTCGTTGCTCAGAGTGTCTGGCAGGGCAATTATCCCAGCACATTGGGAAGTTTTTTCCATCTTCCCTTGTCTGTGGCTCATCCTTTGCAGTTGCCTGGCTTCCCCTTCTCCTCTGCTGCTGTTATTTAAGGGCGTCCCTGTTGTACTCCCCAGGCCAGGTTATCCCAGCCAAAAGCACGTTTCATGTCAGCTTTGGATTGCACCCCAAGCATGGAGCCAAGGCTGCATCTCCCTGTGGAGCATGCTGCCATGGGGCCTTGCTAAATCACCCCTGGAGAGGGAAGCTTTGCTTTCTGTTCCCCAGGCTTTGTTTTCTCTGAAGATCCCAGATCACTCACCCCTCCCCAAGCTTAGGAATGCACTAGCAGCCAGCTTAGGTTTTTGCTTGCTTAGTGTGGGGTTGTAGGCTTTTTTGCAGATCTACCTGTTTCATGCTGGCAGCTTTAGCTCTGCCATGGAGGAGTGAAGGCTGCAATGTTGATGACGTCCCCAAGGCCTCTGCATGTCTCATCTATCCTGCCAGTGTCAGAAGTGAGACTGCCTGGGTGGACCAGCTCCTGCAGCACTGGCCAAGTAGTTGAGGAGCTGCAGTTCAGCTCACGCTTATGGTTGTCTGAGGTTTCCTTCCTTGTGGATGATCTAAAAATAGCATGTGGATGGCATGGATCTGAACAGCTGCCATGGCCCCTGTTAGCTATCTGGAAGAGCAACTTGGCTTCACATATTCAATAGTAATATCTGAAAAGTCTGGCTCCCCCCACACTGAGCAGATCTGCTGGACCCAGAGTTCCCATTGCCTCAGTTTGGGGCATCTTGACCCCACACAGGTTGTAAAGCACTCTGGCTTCCTCACCTGCTTTCCTCTTCCTTGTAATGCACCAGCATTGTTTCTTTGGGAATTTATTTGAGGCTGAGCTTTGCAGGGTCATTGGCTTTCACCCAAAGGCAGACGGTTTTGGGGAGGGAAAAAGGAGCTGGTTCACTGGCCTTGGATGTTTAATGTGGCCCTGGTCCTGTCTGGCTCTGACCACCCAGAGCTGAGACTGGATCGGCTGCTGGGCTTGGGCTTATATAGGAATTGAAGTGTCACAGCTGGGCCGGGAGCCTCCTGGATTATGCCTGGGAGGCTCTTGGAAAAGACTTTTTGTCAGAGGGTTGTTGGGGGTTTTGGAGCTAGTGGCAATTCCTCCATCTGTGCATGGTCTGAGGGTAGTGATGTACGATGGGAGCAAGTGAATCCAAGCTCTGCCCTGCAGGCTGATGTGTCTGTGAGTACAGCCCTTCCCAGGCAAGAATCAGAAGGTGCTGGTACCAACGAGAGGGTGTACCCCTTTCTGAGGTCACTGGTTTTGTACTGGGATGAATGGGAGTGTTCCCCAGGCACACCTCCCCAGCGAGTACACCTTGGCTCAGACAGTGTTTTCTTGGCAGTAGGATGCTATTGCACCATTGCAGGGTACCAGCACTTCTCTCCATTCCCTTCATCCCACTTTAAACCGAGATACCATGGGAGCTGGTAGTGGGAGGAGAGCTGCTGAGCCATGTGAGGTCCTCTCCTCTCCAGTCTCTGAGGCCCACCCAAGAGTGCAGTTGGTAAACAAGCATGGACGTTCCTTAAAATCCTTGAGCTCACAGCAGGTTTCCATGCCGCACTCTCCATCTCAGCACGCCAGGCTTTGCCACCCAAGCGGTGAGGGCAGGAGAAAAGGTGGAAGGGGCTGGTGCCCCTGTCATCTTCCCTCACTTCCTCTCACTCCCTTTCTTCCCTTGGGATGTGTTTGTGCAGTTGTTTCCCTGCCATTGAGTTCAGTTTCCTTCAGATGCTGTTTGATTAGTCAGGAAAGCCATGTCCCACTTCCGCAGCCCGTTCCCAGCTCCAGTTTGTATTTAGCTGCTTTGTTCTCCAGTTATGTAAGGTCAGCTGCCCTTGATACCTTCTCCAACAAAATGAACTGGGGCCAGCACCTCCTGGGAGACCCAACATTGCTCCTCGCGACCTGCTCCGGCTGCCCTGGGAGAGGGTGGCTGGCTGTTGGCCTCCATCAGTTTCTCATTGGTTATCTTCTGCCTGCTTTTCAGGGACCAGGTCTGTAGGGCTGTGCCCAAGAGCTCCCCAGTCTTTGGGGTGATGATCAAAATTCCTGTCTGGTTTGTATGATGGCAAAGCTGCCTGCCAACCCTGTAGGAGTTGGGACAAGTAGCAGATGACCTAAGAGTGGCTGTCACCAAGGCCAGCAGGTCACAAGAGGGGATTCTCCCCCTCTGCTTCTCTCCGGGGAGACCCTCCCCTGCAGTCCTGCGTCTAGCTCTGGAACAACACCACAAGAGGGACATGGAGCTGTTGGAGTGAGTCCAGAGGAGGCCACGGGGATGCTGCGAGGGCTGTAGCAGCTCTGCTTGGAGACAGGCTGAGAGAGCTGGGCTTGTTCAGCCTGGAGAAGAGAAGGCTCCAGGAAACTTTAGAGCAGCTTCCAGTGCCTGAAAGGGGTTTATAAGGAAGATGGGACAGATTTGTTAGCAGGGTTTGTAGCAACAGGACAAGGGATGATGGTTTTAAATTAAAAGAGGGAGATTCAGACTAGTACAAGGAAGAAATGTTTTACAATGAGGGTGAAACACTGCACCAGATTGCCCAGGGGTGGTAGATGCCCCACCCTGTGGAAGCATTCAAGGTCAGACTGGACAGGGCTCTGAGCAATCAGATCTAGTTGAAGGTGTCCCTGCTTGTTGCAGGAGTCTTGGACTAGATGACCTTTAGAAGTCCCTTCCAGCCCAGATCATTCTAGGATTCTATGACAGCATAGGTGTAAACCCTCGAGCCTGGTCTCCAGCTCTGCTCTGCATGGGAGGAGGAAACCCTCTCCAAAAGGATGCCGATACCATCTGCTGCCTCATACAGGGTAGCTCTTGCACATACCTCTTCCTTCCTTTCTCCACAGCTTTGTAAGGAGAGGTGGTTACAGCCTTTTGTTTTGCAGGAGGCACTTTCCTCCTGCTCGGTCCAGTCTTTCCCACCCGGCTTCCTGACGGAGATGGTGGTGATGGTGGCATACCCTCTGAGTACCTCATGCTATATGATGTTTACTGGGAGGCTGACTCTGTACCTGGGTGTGCTAACGTGCCTGAGGTCACTGGTCTCCAACAGCAGTCCATGAATATCCCAGGAGTCAGTGGACTACTCCAGAGGAGACTGCTAAATGTCCCTAAGAAATGTAGTGTGTTGAGTTCTGACTTGCTGTATCCCTGCAGGAGAAGAGGCAGTGCTCCAGAGCCTGGACCAAACTTGAGATGTTCTGTGAAGGGGGTTTCCTAATTGACAGCTTTTTGAGGGGTTTTGTTCTCAATGAGCCAATCCACTCCCTTTACGTTGCCTTTCGCTTTGTTTGTGTAATCACAGATCTGCAGAGGTGGCAGTGTAGGACGAGGCCCCACCTCTAGACAGTCTGTAAAATGTTAGGGTGGGCTCTGAAAACATGAAGCGAGAGTCTCTAGACTGCAGGGATCTGTGAAGGGTAGGAGAGAAAAGGTGGCCCCTTGTCAGATGGCTCAGATTTGCTAAATTGGCTGGATAAAAGTGAAACTTCTCCTTACACATCCTCTCCACAAAAGGCCAGGAGACAGCTGGCATCACACCATGGACCACTCACTCTTGAAGGAGCCAGTTTCTAACAGCTTTTGCAGGATCAAGAGTGGAGAAGCCAGGTGGGTACAAGAGGAGAGTCCTGTTGCTCCTGAGTACTCTGAGCTCAATGCTCCGGTTTCCTGATGCTTGGTGGCTTTACCATCCTCTTCCCTGCTGGCATGGAGCTGAACAGGAGGGTTGACTTTCAAAAGTGCTTTTCTGCCTCTTGGAGAGGAGCGGAATTAGAACAAAAGGGTGATTTGTTTCTTTTCTGGGATGTTCTGCCACAGCAGTGCTGGGATGCTGTGGACAACCTCGGGAGAGGCCATCCAGACTATAGCTGTAACTCATATGGGATGCTTTCAGGTATCAATCTCTCCTGAGATGATTACAGCACATGGCGGGCCAAAAGCATTGAGGATTCCCAAATAAAAGCTGGAATTACAGTCTGTAGGGGCTGATGCAGAATTGAAATTGTAGGTAAGGTCACTCCTAGCCAAGCATATACCCCTTGTATAGTTACTTTGCTGGGCTGCCTCAATTTCCCCAGGATGTTGCAAGGAATTTGAAGAGTGATGTGAGGAATGAGATGAAAACCATAAAACCAGGAAAATGAAG